TAGTCCCAGCTACTTGGGAGGCTGAAGCAAGAGAATCGCTTAAGCCCAGGAGTTGGAAGTTGCTGTGACTGTGATGCCACAGCACTCTACCCAGGGCGACAGCTTGAGGCTCTGTCTTAAATAAATAAATTAATTAATTAATTAAAAAAAGGTGGCGCCTGTGGCTCAAAGGAGTAGGATATAGACCTCATATGCCGGAGGTGGTGGGTTCAAACCCAGCCCCAGGCAAAAACTGCAAAAAAATAAAATAAATAAATAAAATTTTAATTCAGATATTTATCTTGTAATGACAGGTTTCTATATCCTTTGTATCAATATTCTCTTACTACAGGAGTGTTTTGTTCTGGCTGCATACTACAAATAAAGAAATCATCACTGCAGATTTTACTCACTGCAAACACCTCCCTGCTATTAAATATCTTCAAGGCTCGGTGCCTGTGGCTCAAGCGGCTAACGCGCCAGCTACATACACCTAAGATGGTGGGTTCAAATCCAGCCCGGGCCCACCAAAAAACAATGATGGCTGCAACCAAAAAATAGCCAGGTGTTGTGGCAGGCGCCTGTGGTCCCAGCTACTTGGGAGGCTGAGGCAGGAGACGCACTCGAGCCCAGGAGTTGGAGGTTGCTGTGAGCTGTAATGCCAGAGCACTCTACCCAGGGGGACAGCTTGAGGCTCTGTCTCAAAATAATAATAATAATATCTTCAAAAAAATGCTTTCATCTGTGCAGATACAAAAGAAACACTCAGTAAATATTTCTTTACCAAACACTTAACTCTTAACTCACCTTCTAAGGTAAAACATTTATAGAATCCAAGTTTTTAATCAATATAAAATATTCAATAGCTAAATCTTTTTGTTCAACTCCCACATAAACTGACTCATTTACCATCACCAATTATTATAAATCATTGCACTAGTATTAATCAAGTAGCTTTAGCAGTTTCCTTATTAAGTTACCTGGTTCATCTTGAGTATATTCACCTGTGGTCATTTCCTAAAAGAGGAAAAGATAAGTAACATCTTAAATAAATATTTCCCTAAATACATATTCTCCTTATCAAAGTAAAGTCTCTCCTTGTCAAAGTAACATCTTAAGTAAATAAATATTTCCCTAAATACATATTCTCCTTGTCAAAGTCAAGTCTCTCCTTGTCAAAGTAACATCTTAAGTAAATATTTCCCTAAATACATATTCTCCTTGTCAAAAAGAACTACTTTGAACACGTTGTTCTATAGTTTTAGTCCTAAAGTGGAAACTTTTTTTTCCTAATTTATAATCATTCATAAAATTTCATTAAGAACAAGAATAACTTAAAAGCCAAATTCCTTTGCCTCTTAGCCCCGATTTTCCTTTTTATTATGTGCAAATTTTAACTTGGATCATATTGCTACATACATCTATCATTCTTACTTTACTTCTTCACTGTCATAATTCCTCAACTCTAGTCATATCTGCTGCAGGGTTTTGCCCAGTGAAAACCAAGGCCTGGAGGGTACAGGCAGTCCCTGGGTTATGAACAAGATCGGTTCTATAGGTTTGTTCTCAAGATAAATTTGGATGTAAGTTGGAATAGGTACATTTTCCTACTACCTGTAATAGCCTCCATTTGTAAGTGTGAGTTGTATGTAAATCAGATGATTTTAACTCAGGGACTGCCTGTATTGCAAGTTTTTTACACTACTAAGTGGCTTAAAACTTAAATGAATTTTAAGAAATTAGGAAGTTACAAGATCACTGCCCAGAGTGACAGCTTGAGGAGCTCCAATGACTCACTCTCCAAGAAAACGGATTTAAAAAAACAAAACAGGCCAGGCAAGGTGAGGCAAGGTGACTCACACCTGTAATCCTAGCTCTCTGGGAGGCCTAAGTGGATGTATTGCTTGAACTCAGGAGTTTGAGACCAGACCAAACAACAGCAAGACCTTGACTCTACTAAAAATAGAAAAACTGGCTGGGTGTCCTGGAGGGCACCTATAGTCCCAGCTACTCCAGACGTTGAGGCAAGAGGATTGCTCAAGCCCAAGAGTTTGATGTTGCTGTGAGCTACAATGACATCAGGGCACTCTACCCAGGGCAACAGAGTGAGCCTCTGTCACAAAAAAATAACAATAGAATTAAAATAAATGTAAAAAAACATAAAGTTTCTAGAAATGGTCCTAAGGGCAAAAAGCAAATGAAGAAGCACCTATTTAAGAAAGCATAACCAGGCACAGTGGTTCATACCTGTAATCCTAGCATTCTGGAGGCCAAGGTGGGAAGATTGTCTGAGCTCAGGAGTTTGAGACCAGCCTGAGCAAGGGCAAGACCCCCGTCTGTGCTAACAGGAAAACTGAGGCAAGGAAATCTCCTGAACCCAGGAATTTGGGGTTGCTATGAACTATGATGACGCCACAGCACTCTACTGAGGGCAACAGAGTACAACTTTACCACCAAAAAAAAAGTACATAAAAATTCACTAAAAAGATAGCATCTACGTGGATCAAGACTGTTCTCGCCTTCCTTTCTCCCAGCTCACCAAGCTGGGGACTCAGACTGCTGTAGCCAAGAAAACAAGTGCCCTACAGGTGCCAGCTGGAAAACATTCTTCCCCATGGGAGTAGGAATTCACATCAAAGGAAAACTATGGACCACCATCTACTATAAATATAGAAATAAATATCATCAATATGATACTAGCAAACCAAAGCCAATAACATATAGAAATTATACAGCATCACCAGGTAGGATTTATTCTCAGGATTCAAAGTTAAGTTTCACATCCAAAAATCAATACAAGTTTTTTAAAATCACATGAACATCTCAATAGATGCAGAAAAACCAATATGACAAATTCCAACACCTTTCATGGTAAAAACACTCAATAAACACTCAAAAACTTCAACCTGATTAAGAGCATCTATGAAAAACTCACAACTAATTTCATAAAGAACAAGACAAAAATGTCCACTCTCACCACTTCTATTGACCTGGAGGTTCTAGCCAGGGCAATTAAGCAAGAGCAGAAAGATAAGACACTCAGATCAATAAGTGCTACAGAATGAATTGTGTCTCCCAGAAAGACATGTTGTGGTCCTAATCCCTAATACTGTGCATGTGACTTTATCTGGAAACAGAGTCTTCGTAGATACAATCACGTTTAGATGAGGTCATACTGGATTAGGGTTGGTTGGTCCTAACCCTCACCCAACAGGACTGATGTCCTTATATGAGGAGGAGACATAAACACACACAAGGGGAAAATGGTCTGTGACAATGGAGGCAGAAGTTGGAATTACGCTGCCATGTGTCAAGGAATGACAAGGACGGCAGGCAACCAAAAGAAGGCAGGAGAAAAGCATGGGATGGTTTTTCCTCAAATCCTCCAGAAGGAACCAACACGGCTGGCTAACAGCTTGATTGTGGACGTCCAGACTCTAGAACTGTGAGAGAATACATTTTATATGTCTTATATCAGGCATTTTGTGGTCCAGTTTGCAACTTAGAGGAGTTTTTAACATCATGCTGAGTTTATTCCGATGTAACCTCATCATAAACTAAAGGGGCTCTATGCTTTGTTACAGCTATCCTAGGAAAGTAACACTAAAAGCAGTAAGTAAAATCATCTCTATTTGCAGATGACCTGATCTTCCATATAGAAAATACTAAAGAATCCACTAAAAATCTACCAGATAAAAGAGCCCAGCAAAGTTGCAGGAGACAAAATTAATATATAAGAATCAATTTTATTCTATACACTTAAAGTGAACAATCCAAAAATGAAATTAAGAAAACAATCCCATTCAGAAAATAACATATTTGGAAAAGAGTTTAAAAAATGCAAACCTCATATTCTAAAAACTACAAAACATTGTTGAAAGAAAATAAAGATCCATATACATGGGAAAACAACCCATGTTCATAGATGAAGTCTCAACATTGTTACGGTTGCATCATCCCTCAAACTGACAGGCAGACGCAATGGAATCAAATCAGAATCCCAGAAGACTTTTTTGTAGAAACTGGTAAGACTTAAAAATTCGTATAGAAATAAAAGAGGCCCACCATAGCCAAAACAATCCTGAAAAAGCGAGAAGTAGAAGAACTCACATTTCTTAATTCCAAAATGTACTACAAAATCAACATCAATCAATACAGTATCACCAGCATAATAACAGACACACAGATCAATAGAACGCAGAGTTCATACATCTATGGAAAACTGATTTTGGATGAAGGTACTAAGACTAAGAAAAGAATAGTCTTTTCAAACAAATGGTGAAAGGACAACTGGATAGCCACAAGCAATAGAATGAAGTTGAATAATGAGACTATCATACTATATAGAAAAGTTAACTCAAAATGTATCAATGACTTAAACGTAAAAGAAAAATCCATAAATTATTAGAAGAAAAATGGACATAAATCTTTAGGCCCTTGGATTTGACAAAGGATTCTTTTGTTGTAGTTGTTATTGTTTTTGTTTCTGGAGACAGAGTCTCACTATGTCGCCCTTGGTAAAGTGCCATGGCATCACAGCTCACAGCAACCTCAAACTCTTGGGCTTAAGCAATTCTCTTGCCTCAGGCTCCCACACAGCTGGGACTATGGGTGCCCACCACAATGCCTGGCCATTTTTTTGTTGCAGTTGTCATTGTTTAGCTGGCCCAGGCCAGGTTTGAACCCACCAGCCTGGGTGTATGTGGCCAGCACCCTACCCACTGAGCTATGGGCACCACCTTGACAAAGGATTCTTAGAAAGCATGAGCAATGAAAGAAAAACTAGATAAACCAGGCTTCATCAAAGTTAAGATTTTTTTGTTTTAAAGAAAAATCAAGAAAATGAAAAGACAACCCACAGAAAAAGAGAAAATACTTACAAAACATATTTCTAATAAGCGACTTGTATCCAGAATATATAAAGAATTCTTAAAATTCATTAAAAAGACGAACAGGCCAAGTGGGGGGTTCATGACTATAATCCTAGCACTCTGAGAGGCAGGAGAATCACTTAAGGTGCAGAATTCGAGACCAGCCTAAACATGAAGACCCTGTCGCTCCAAAAAAAAAAAAAAGAAAAGAAAAATTACCAAGGCATGGTGGTGCGCACCTGTAGTCCCAGCTACTAGGGAGGCTGAGGCAGAAGGATCGCTTGAGCCCAGAAGTTTGAGCTTGCATTGAGCTATGATGATACCACTGTACTCTAGCCAGGGAAACAAAGCAAGAGTCTGTCTCCGAGAAGAAAAAAAAAAAAAGACAAATACCTCGATAAAAAAATTCACAGAAGATCTAAACAGATATTTCTCCAAAGAAGATGGACAAATGGCCAATAAGCACGTGAAAAGAAGCACAACATCACTAATCACTAGGGAAATCCAACTTGAAACCACAATGAGATATTACTTCATACTCACTAGTCAAGTGACGTAAGTCAAATAACAAGTGCTGATAAGAATGTGAAAAAATAGGAACCCTCACACACTGTCGGTAGGAATGTAAAATGAAATAGCAGCTTAGGAAAACAATCTGGCAGTTCTTTAAATGACCCAGCAGTTACGCTTACATGAATGTACCCAACAAAAATGAAAACATATCTTAACTCATGCAAAGAATGAGAAGAAGCAATCAAGGACTAGAGAGAAAACAGCCTTCCAGTGACACAAAATACTGACAGAAGAGTGATAAGAAACAAATATTCCTCATCAATGACTGTCTGGAAATCAATATTGTAATCCTACGAGGCATATTTTTAGCATTCATGAGGGGCTTTTATACTTTGAGATAAGTTTTAAGAAATTGTGTATTCTACCGCATCTTTTCAACTGGGAACTGGTAATAGATTTATTTCAAAAGCATAATCTCTAATATATTATGTACTGATTATTGGATAGGAGACTTATTTTCATACACTATAAATATGAGAAATAACTTTGATTTTTAATTTCATTGTTTGCTTAGCTTTTGCCTTTTAATAATAAGACTGCATGGTGCATGTAGTAATTCCAGAAATTTCCAATCCTAAAGAAAGTTTTATAGTAATTTTACAGTCGTTGATAAATTCATGAGAAATTTTAAACATTTTAAAAATTAAATGTACTTTTTTAATGATTTTTGTTATGATATCAAACTGTTGAAATTACACGGTCAGATGCGTATGAGTGATTATTTGATAGAGTTAATCTATTTTAATCTGTTTTAAGTATTTCTAAATAAAGGAAATAAAAGCCCCCAAATGAAAACATATCCACATGAACACTTGTATGTGAAATGTTTATAGCAATATTTTTTTATACTAGACAAAAGACATAAACAACTCAAATGTCAAATGGATGAATGGATAAACAAAATGTAGTATAACTGTATGAAATATTAATTGGTTACAAAAAGGAATGAAGTACTGACATATGTTGATTTTATAATTCCACTTCTATAAAGTGTCCAGAATAGGCAAATCTATAGAGACAAAAAGTATGTTATTCGTTCCCTAGCCTGGCCTGGGGTGGTTCAGGAAAAAATGAGGAGTAATTGCCAACATATTCATCAGTTTTCTTTCTGAGGTGATGAAAATGTCCTAAATTAACCATAACTACGTTTGTACAACTCTGTGAAGACATACAAAATCAATGTATCATGCACTTTAAATGAGTGAACTCTATGGTGTACAAATTATCTCAATGAAGCTGTTTAATGGATGGGTGAGATGGCTCACATCTACAGTATCAGCACTATGAAAGGCCAAGGAGGGAGGATCCCTTGAGCTCAGGAGTTTGAGACCAGCCTGAGTACAAGCAAGACCCCATCTCCATTAAAAATAGAAAAAGTAGCCAGGCATTGTGGTGGAGGCCTATAGTCCCAGATACTCGGGAAGATGAGACACTTAAACCCAAGAATCTGAGGTTACTGTTACCTAGGCTGACACCATGGTACTCTAGCCTGGGCAACAGAATGAGAATGTCTCCAAAAAAACACCAAAACAACTTTTTAAAAAAGTTACCATTCCAATTCTTCACTTACAAAAACAAATTACCAAATATGGAAGAGTGTAAACAAAATGCAACTAAAGACATTTTAAGTAATTTACATTTAATATAAATTTAATGAAGTAGAATTTTAATGTAAAAGTCTATATGGTCCTAGCACTTTGGGAGGCTGAGGTGGGAGAATCACTTGAAGCCAGGAGATCGAGACCAGCCTGTCAATATAGCAAGACCCCATCTCTTTAAAAAAAAGGCTGGGTATAGGGGCACACATCCATAGTCCTAGCTACTGGGGAGGCTGAGGATAAGCTAAGCTTTAGCCCAGGAATTTAAGTCTGCGGTGCTGCAGTGACCTGTGAACTGGCCACTGTACTCTAGCCTGGGCAAGAGAGTGAGATTCTGATTTTTAAAAAAAAAAAAAAGCCTAGGAGAATATTAAGAGCTTTATCTATATACAAAATGAAAAAAAAAAAAAAAGAAAAATGCTTTCCAAGTCAAGTATAAAATCTATGGATTAGTCACTATGAATAATGATTGTAATACTAAGCTGTTGTCATACTAACAGTTCCCTACATAAGAAAAATTAGCTACTTAACAGTTTATAAACCAAAAGCTATCAAAATAAAACTCCTATGTTTTCAAGGAAATAAATAAAAGGCCAAAACATTACAACGGATGCTTACAAATGATGATACGTTCAGATTTTCTTCCTGTTTCATTTCCTGAGTAGTCACATCTGTGTTTGAGAGCGGATGCTCAACAACAGCCATGCATCCTATATCTGGGACATTCACGGTTATTTCAAGCTGTCAAAATAAAGTTTTAATATTTTACTTTGGCGTACTACAAACAGCAAAACAAAATCTCATTTTCCACATTAATAAGTAAAATTAATGGTAAAATGAACAAACGATCCATGTTCATATACAATTAAGAAACTGAAATGGGCCTGCCTCACACCTGTAATCCTTACACTTAGGGTACCAAGGCAGAAGGGCTGCTTGAGGCCAGGAGTTTGAGACCAGCAGGGGCAACATAGTGAGACGTCGTCTCTACAAAAAAATACAAAAATTAAGATAGGTGTGGTGGCATGCACCTGTAATCCCAGCTACACAGGTGGCTCAGGCAGGAGGATCACTTGAGCCCAGGTGTTTGAGGTTGCAGTAAGCTAGGATGATGTCACTACATTGTAGCCCAGACAACAGAGAGACCTTGTCTCAAAAAAACAAAAGAAACTGAAATGTAGTAATTGTTTTTTCTTTCTTTCTTTTTTTAAAATACAAAACAGTCTCATTCTGTCTCCCAGACTAGAGTATAGTGGCATAATCACAACTCACTGCAACCTCAAAGTCTTGGGCTCAAGTAATCCTTCTGACTCAGCCTCTTGAGTGGCTCAAAGTACAGGTATGTGCCATCATGCCCAGGTAATTTTTAAATTTTTTGTAGAGACAGTGTCATGCTATGTTGCCCACATTGGTCTCAAACTCCTGGCTCAAGTGATACTCCCGCTTTAGTCACTCAAAGTGCTAGGCTTACAGGCAGAACACAATGCACCCTGCTGGAAATGTAGTGTGCTTAAACTGATTAACAGCAACTCAACAAAAGTAAACATTTATAGTTTTTGAACACAACCATAAACAAAATTTCTAAGGCTAATTTTAGTACCTGGCATTTCATTTTCCATTGTTGCCACTTTGCCTTGATTTTACCCTCATTCTTTCATTAGTCTGTTAACTTTTATGGAGTACTTCCTAAAACCCAGAAGGCTCTGGGTACAGGCATACAAAGTGCAATAAGACAAGTTTGGTTCCTGCCCTCAATTAACTCATAATCTAAGAGATACAGATATATAATCAACTAACTATATGTTGTCATAAATGCTGTAGTAGAGATGAGTTGAAAGCACTTAAAAAGACTATGATTCCACTCCCGCCACAATTGCCCCTACAACCCCACAGCTTCCATGATTCTTAATACTCACAGCAATAACAACATAAAACAGTTAAGTCACTCACATTCACTCTTCATTTGGCAGTCCTAGGCAAAGACCCTTATAATCTGGGAGCTCAAAAGATACTCATGTATCCCTAAAATATATACAATACAATCTGGTTCCCATTCTCTTATAAAGAATATAAAAGGCTGCCATGATTCAACAGAAACTGTGAGTAAAGAGTCAAGTCTAAGAATCTGCCTTTAAGCCATATTTTCATAATAACTCATGTTTCTGTGTCTGTTTTATCAGATGCAAAATTTAAAGAAAACTCTTTGCTAATATCTGACAGGTCTGGGATAAATTTAAACATTCAAGTGGGTATAGCAGCAGGAAACTGTAGTCCCAGCTACTCAGGAGGCTGAGGAGGGGGGGATCAGTTGAGCCCAGGCGTTTGAACACAGCCTGGGTAACAGACTCTCTTGTTATGGAGTCATATAACACGTGGTGCCATAGAACCAGCTTCTTTCACTAGCATGATGTTCTTGTCCATGTTGTGGCATCTACTATATATTCCTTCATGAGTGAGAAATATTACACTATGTTTCAATGCTTTTTAAAGGAAATTTTTTCTAACATACAAATGAATTTCTTTGTTTTAGCAAGCTGGCCATAAGATACATAATTTTTAACCTTTTTCTGTTCAATTATTATGATTAATGCTATTGAAGAAGACAGTCTGTACTAATACAGGGATACATTTTAGAACATGAATTTCTTATATTAGGGTGGCGCCTGTGGCTCAGTAGGTAGGGCGCTGGCCCCATATACCGAGAGTGGGGGGTTCGAACCCGGTCCCGGCCAAACTGCAACAAAAAAATAGCCAAGCATTGTGGCGGGCACCTGTAATCCCAGCTACTCGGGAGGCTGAGGCAAGAGAATTGCCTGAGCCCAGGAGTTGGAGGTTGCTGTGAGCTATGATGCCACAGCACTCTACCGAGGGAGATAAAATGAGACTCTGTCTCTAAAACAAAAACAAAAAAAAAAAAGAAAGAAATTTCTTATATTAGACTAGCAATTTGCCTTCACTCAAAGAAAGAAAAATACAAAACAGCTGAATGAACTCTCATGCAGTATTAACCTACTATCCTCTCACAATTAATTTTCCTTTGCATTTTCTTGATTTTAACTAAACCTTACATTTGCTATCTTTAGTTTGAACTTTTAGTTACAAGAAACAACCTCATTTTGGATCATTTTAGTTAGCTTATGCCATTTTATTAACTCATTTACTTTACAACAGCGGTTCTCAACCTGTGGGTCACAACCCACAGGAACTGTATTAAAGGGCCACAGCATTAGGAAGGTTGAGAACCACTGCTTTACAACATTTACTATATTGTTATTAACAGTAAATAATATAAAGGTAAATTTTGACTTTCATTCATAAATGTGACTTTATAGATTCAGAAAATCCATTAATTCTTAAGGATACACCTTAATATTTAACAAATACCTTAATGACCTTAAATATTACTTGAATTATCTTATGGTTCCTACTGCTTCTCTTATTATCACTACTTTCTTAGTTAACTCATTCTGCTTCAAACGACTATCAGAAACTATCACAAATGCTTATATAAAACTGATACAAACATACTGTTCTATAAGCCAACAAGTGATTATAAAATGAGGCAGAAGAGAAAATTTAGAAGTTTGACCAAGTTGGAATGTTATACCAAGAAGCAGAAGAGTAAAAAAGGTAAATATTGTTCTCTACTGTAAACCCATTAGAAAGGTTACTATCAAAAAAAAAAAAAATAGAAAATAACTATCGGGGCTTTGCGCCTGTGGCTCAGCAGCTAAGGCGCCAGCCACATACACCTAAGGGGGTAGGTTCGAATCCAGCCTGAGCCCGCCAAACAACAATGACAGCTGCAACCAAAAATAGCCAGGCATTGTGGCGGGTGCCTGTGGTTCCAACTACTTGGGAGGTGGAGGCAGAAGACTCGCTTGAGCCCAGGAGTTAGAGGTTGTTGTGAGCTGTGATGCCACGGCACTCTACCCAGGGTGACAGCTTGAGGCTCTGTCTCAAAAAAAATAAAATAAAATAAAATAAAAAATAAATAAAAACAAGAAAATAACTATCGGTGAAGATGTGGAGAAATTGGAACCCTTGTACACTCTTGGTGGGACTACAGAATGATACAGCCCCTATGAAAAACAGTATGAAGTTTGCTAAAACAAATACAGAATTACCCTGTGATCCAACAATTCTACTTCCCCAAAAGAAATGAAAGTAGGGATTCAAAGAGGTATCTCTGTAACTGTGATCACAACAGCATTATTTGCAATAGCTAAAAGGTGGAAGCAACCCAAGTGTCCACTGATAGATTAATTAACAAACAAAAAGTGACAGGCACCCACACGCATGCGCACACACAGACACACAGAGGAATATTATTCAGCCTTAAAAATGAAAGGTATTCGGGAGGTGCCTGTCACTTAGAGGAGTAGGGCGCTGGCCCCATATACTGGAGGTGGCAGGTTCAAACCTGGCCCCGGCCAAAAAATAAATAAATAAATGACAGTTTATATTAAAAAAAAAAAAATGAAAGGTATTCTGACATATGCTACAATACAGGTGAGCCCTGAAAATATGTTAAAGGAAATAAGACAGTCATAAGAAAACAAACACTGTACAATTTCACTTATACGAAGTTCCTAAAGTAGTCAAATTTATAGAGACAAAAAGTAGAATGGTGGCTGCCAAAGGCTGCGGGAATGAAGGGGGAATGAAGAGTTATTGTTTAATGGCTACAAAATTTGTTTTACAAGATGAAATTAATTCTGTGGGTGGATGTTGGTACTGGTAGTACTACATGTACATATGGATGTACTTAATGGCATTAAACTATACACTTAAAAACAGTTAAATGATAAATTAATTATTTTACCACAATTTTTTGAAAAAAAAAAGTCCATTCTACCTCTTGTGCCAACCTGAACGTAACCTGAGCCTATTACAAAGAGTTAATAGAAACACCTGCCAAAATGTTTAAATATTAATCAGAAGGTAGATTAAGCAACTTCCAGATATAAGTGCAAGCAGATTTCTATCACTATTTTTTTGTTTCTTTGTTTGTTTTTTGAGACAGAGCCTCAAGCTGTCCCCCTGGGTCGAGTACCGTGGCATCACAGCTCACAACAACCTCTAACTCCTAGGCTCAAGTGAGTCTTCTGCCTCTACCTCCCAAGTAGCTAGGACCACAGGTGCCTGCCACAACGCCTGGCTATTTTTTGGTTGCAGCCGTCATTGTTGTTTTGCCAGGCCCAGGCTGGATTCAAACCCACCACCTTAGGTATATGTGGCTGGCACCTTAGCCACTTGAGCCACAGGTGCCAAGCCTCTATCACTATTGTTACACTAATTCCCTTACTGGACTTGGGCCACAGGGGCTGAGTAATCACAAGAGCCACACAAAGCTACTTCCACTAATTCCTTAAGCTATTCATTAGACCCCAAACAAATTTATATTTGGAAGAGGTTTTTAAGAAAATGAACTCTTGAAATCCCAATTTCACTAAAAGCAATAAAGATCCAGAAACAAAAAAGAAGGAAAAACCAAGTAAGACAAAGTGCCAAGAATTAAAAAAAAGAAACCAAAATACCTCTTCCATGGTTTCCTCAATCTGAGCAGGAACAGGTTCAGGTGATCTGAGACCAATAGGAACAAAAACTGGAGCTTTGTTTACTTCTTCTGGAGCAAGATGATAACTTTCTTCTTCATAGTCAGACTCAAAATCTTCAGCATCATCTTCATCTTCTTCCTGGGAAGCCCGAAGAGTCACCAGCGTGGACTTAGAAGCTCTAGGTTCCTTCTTAGAGGTCTTACTCCGAATTCGTTTTGATCCACGCCCTCTGGTGACATTTGGTTTAGTCTTTCTATGCATTCTCTTTTCACCATGATCTATCTCACATTCAGTTGCATTAGAAATAGTTCTTTGATCAGAAGCAATTTTAGAGGAATTTGATCCTTTCAACGGTTGTGGACGGCTATTTAATCAAAATAAGAATATGGTCATACATACATGCATAAGGATAATTTTAATAAAAACCAAACTTTAAGAGTAAAATCCCAATTCCAGTCATTAAAATGAGAACTACTACCATCTGTTCTTTTAAAACCTTATGCTATGAAAATAAGGAATTAACTACTAGTTTCTCATTCAGAGTTAATTCTTAGTTAACTAATTATAAATTTTTCCTATGTTTAATTATGGACTATCTTTTCCTGCAATATGAAAAAAGGATGAAATATATACAAAGCTGAAAATTATTAGAAGAAAAATGGATAAAAGACACAAAACCAATATAGAGTACAGGATTAGGCTCGGCGCCTGTGGCTCAAGCGGCTAGGGAGCCAGCCACATACACCTAAGGTGGCGGGTTCGAATCC